TGATTTTGGTTTGAGTCTCCCTTGGGCTGCCTCTGGGTTTGGAACAGATTTCATTCAGCGCTGAGCATGGTAGCTTCAGCAGAGGGGCACTGTGCCCCCACCCCCACTTCGACATGTGTCATAACTGGTTTCAGACTTGATCAGGAGACACAACTGGCTTGTTGGCTTGGCAGATGGCTCTGAGGCTGAGGCCAGGTGCTTGGTTACCTCACTATCCACACCAGGCTTTAATAACATGGCATTTACGTATGCCTCGCACATGAAAACAATATAGTAGCCTTCCCGATCAGATAATTTACATGGCAGTTTTCTTTGACAGACTCCATTTTAGCACAGATGTCTTGATTTGACAGCCAGGCCAGAGGGATCATGCAAATGGTATTGGGTGATGAATAGAAATTAAATAGACCACCCATTTGTGCCGCATGCATCTGCCATTTAGAGGCGAACTTAGCTTGTTGAGCACAAGTTCTCTTGTTAAAAAACCAGCAAAAATTAAAAGTAAGAGATGCTGGTGCTAATCACAAGGAAAAACTGTGCTGACTGCTTTTTGTTGTTGTTTTTGTTTGTTTTTGGTCACTTGGAGCCTTTAATGACACACTGAAATCTCTATTATATCATTCTGAAACAGCTTAGTGACCAGTTCCATTAATGGAACTGTTACTCAATACATCATCACTGGGGGGAAAAAAAGCTGACATTTGGAGTACACAGATTTCACCTGACGCTTGCCTTTTGTTGCTGCCTCTATCCTCCTCCCTCAGGGTAGTTAGTTGCTCTTAAGCATTACATGAACATATGCATAAAGCTACCAAAAGCTACCATCACTCTTATTGCCTGTTCTTATAGTCCTTATCTTCAACGTTATGCTGCTCTGTTGTTTGTTAATTGCCCCTTGGGGATAAATAAAGTCTTCTGATTCTGATTCTGAAAAGGCTGACTGATCGAGGCCAGTTCTCTGGATGTCTACTTCTGATAATTGCCTTTTTTTTCTAGCTTATATTCTCTCCTCTCTTCCTGATTAGCTTCCTGTGTTTAAATATCTTGAGAGGAGCACAGGCATGAAGTATTGTCTGCTTTTGCTATCATATAGTATAAAACCCATGTTCACATAATAACAGTCCATCATTTGTATTTGCTTCAATATAATTTGCCAAAACCTTTTACATTAGTTGATGCCACTGGTGCTTTTTTATTAGTCCTTTATTTATTCAAAAATCTAATTTCCAAGAGTGACTCATGGCAGATGTCATGGCAACAAAAGTCAAAAAACATGTACCAACATAAGTGCATTTAAAACAAATACAATACACTTTTCCTGTGCCTCATTTTTTATTTCTGTAGCACTTCATTAAATTCTTTTAATTTTAATCTCCAATTTCCCAAATTTTCCAATAACCATCACGGGTGCACTCTAACATTTGCATTTCTATATTTGCCTTTTTTTTCTTTTTAAATTTTTATTTGAGCAAAAGTAAGAACTCAATAACTTTCAGAGGTTACTTTGCATTCTGTTTGCTGCCATTTTCGCAAAAAGTCCAAGGTTGACATGATATCCAAATGAATTATTTCCTCTAGTCTCGCCACTCCTGCCAGTATTATTACTACAAATGGAGTAGTTTATCAGTATATTACCTTCCAATGTCCTTCCTTTAGGTCCTTTTCATTTTACCTGTCATGGAGCCTTAATGGGATTCACAAGTAAGACAGGCTGCAGTTGACAGTAATAGGCTTTTGAAGGGAGCAATCTTGAAAAACTACCCGTGCTCCGTGTTACATTTTTCTTCAACATGTGAGGAAGATTTGCTGCCTGAGACATTGCTGCAGCATGGAAAGGAAAACCTTGATATTTTACACTCTTCCAATTTCACGATTCCTACCATAATCACATTTTTATGTACACTAGGATTATTCAGAATTTATACTGGATAAGTTCACGGTTATATTGGAAGGTGCTTATGGGTAGTTTTAGTAGTATTATCATAATCGGTTATATTTATGTGAGTATATAACCATATGGCATGGTTTGCTAAAATGTTTAACACAAGATCTGAGGAACTATATGTATTGTTCTGTGTGCAGCTGGTGCTTTTTCACTGGCTGCCATGTTATGTTATGAATTAAAGGTGATTGTAGTGTTAATGTTTGAGCCAAATGACTAGCGTGGAGAAGAATTCTGTAAATCGTGTGAAGATTTTGCAGAAGCATGCCATTATATAAAAATTTGCTTTAGATTGCTTTTTAATTTAGCAATCATTGAGTCTTTCCTGAAAGTCTCCTGAAATAGCTCCATCTTTGTGAAATTTGTTTCCAGAAATATTTTGTTTTCATAACAAATTAAAAAAAACAAATCTGAATGGCATGCACTCACTATACTGTACATTTGCATAATACAGATTTACATTAAACTTGGTGAGTTCATTTAGGCTGTATGGGTGCTGAAACTGTAGCAACAATTGTGAACCTATATTTGCTGTCATTTAAGATGTAGAGCACATCCTCTGTTGAAAGAATGCTTATTGATGGGGATGGTGAGGTCTGAAAGTCAAAACCAGTAAGACCCAAAAGTGACCCCATGTTAAGTCTTTTTCTCTCTTTATGAGAAACGGTAGTCACTCGTGGGAAGGTGAAGAAAAAGCACTGAGTCATTTTTAAACTGTGCCTTATTTTCCTAGTGTATAACAGCACATTGACTGGGTTTAGTGTTTAAACAGCAATTTAAAGGATGTTTATTCGTGCCAATTATCTAGTGTTATATTGAGTTGAGAACCTAGATAGTGATGACGTCTCTTGATGGAAGGCTACTATTCTGCAGTGATACATATTAAAAAAAAAACAAACAAACAAACTATATTGTTCTCAAAGAGAATTTTAGAATTAGAATTTTTCTTGGATTTTCATCTGTGCTTTTTAAATCTTATTTTATATAGAGTATGGAAAGTGTTCTCCTTTTTACTTTAATCAACTAAAAACGCAGAGGATACATTATTTAACTGTAGGTAGATAATGCTCTAAAATCCAGACAGTATAATTAGAAAACCTCCCAAAAGTAAGTGTTTTAATTCATGTGACATTTAACGTCATTGACTAAATGATCTAAATGAACACTGCAGGCAATATGGAGGAAAAGAAAATTAAATGTAGGTAGATTTTTTTTTTTTTTTGGCAACATGACTAATAATGTGTTAAAATTAGATGTTTTAATCGCTTCTTGGTTTCAGCTTTTGACCAGCTGGCACAGTGACATGGTACATATGTGATCTTGAGCTTTGAAAGCGGTACCGTGAAGTAAGTTTAGTAACACACTCGTAGGTTCCCAATATCTGGGCAGCTTTTTCCTTTAGAATGTCAGCTTTAACTCCTCAGAGCTCTATCTTCAGCTCCCCAAAGACCTTGTGGGTGATAATCAGTCATTACCGCTCCTCCACTGAGTTATTTATTTCACTACATTCACACTGCAATTCATCATTTATTTATATGACAGTTGTTGTCTATTATAGTGTTCCTTTCATGTGGCCAAGAATGAGAGATTTTATGGAACATTAGGCTTCCATGCATCTGATAGCACGACACTGATTCTATTTCTCCATTTCCCTTTGATACAGACTCCCACCCCAAAGGTCAGTTAATTGTAGAATATTTATACCAGTATCACAGTTGCTACTTCAGTTAATATGATTCCTTAACCATTTTAATATGTGGGAATGTGCTCCAATAAAAAATGACATTTGAGCCACTTTGCAGAGCCTTCTCTAATGGGGTCTGGGATAAGAATGGTAATATGCACTGGAGCTGGCAGAGGCACAGCCTGTGTTTTTGTTTATAAATAGCTCCAGCCAGCATTATTCCACTTGCAGTTGTCCCATAACCATCAATCACTTCTGCTCATGGGCCGACTTCTCTTGTTCACCAGAGAGAAGGTGCACTGCAAGCGGTGCCCTTGCACCTCCAACTGTGCAAGTACATAAAGTAGAGCGTAGTGAGTAGGACAGAGCTGGGAGTCAGGGAGAATGTGGGGGGAAAGGTTCCTGTGGGGTGATGAACTAAGTTATGATAGCCACCCACACCCCTCCTCCTTCGGGTGATTATATGCACCAACATCCACCATTTTTGCCTTTTTAACACATTTAGACACACGTGTCGATCCCAGAAGCAGGTGGGAGGCTAATCATGTCATGAGCTTGGAGGATATGGAATGGGTCGGACAAAACTGTTTACTCAGGTTTCATTTGTCTCTGTCTATATCTGCCTTCATCTCTTTCTGCAGAAGAGCTTTGCAAGAAGAGCTCACATCTTTGAGGACACTGCAGGATCCTACAGAGATTTCCCACATAAACAGATGTACTACTGATTATCAAACATCACACAGATTTTTGTTTAAGTCTACGTGGTTGTACGTGCATATAACAACGCTCACAGTGTCTCTTTGAAGATCCTTGTTCAGACCTTGTGGTGTATACACACACGCACACACACTAAAATGCACATATTACAGTGTTACCATGGCAGTTTGAAAAATACAGTGAGAATCCAGCTGATTCTTAACAAAATGGTTATGTAACTATTGCAGCGCTAAGTCATGTATCTTATCTAAGCCTGTGTCTGTATTTCCTTTCAGCCTGGCTTTGCTGCTTTTCAGCAGCTTTTCACATCTACTGTACCTCCCACAAGACGCCAGTGAACACATGAAGGACATTTGTAATTGCCCATAAGCAACTGTGTTCTTGTGGGCTTATTGTAAGAGCAGAAAAGCCTTGGTGTGGTTGTAATAAACAACATTCTTTTGTTACAAACACACAGAAAAGTTAGATCTCATCACTGTCAAATCTTAATCAATATCTCTATGCTAGAAAAAGAATTTTACACTTAATTTAATGCAGCTTACAAGAGAAGCACGCCCACCTGGCACCCATTGTTATCTCCCTGCCTGCGTGTCTTCCTTACTATAGTCCTCTCTAAACGAAAAAGCCTGATATTTGTAAACTTATTTTGATGCTCACCTCCCGGAGTTCCTTGGCCACATCCTTGAGCTCTTTGAGAATTCCTTCCAGCTGATCAATCACCATCTTCATGTGGCTGCGGATGCGTTCTCTCGGGCTGGGGGTCTCAGAGGTGTCCCGGGCCGGAGCTCTGCTGAGGGACATCCTTTACAGGGTGACGTGGAGCCAGTGGCCAACAGGCTGAGGGCGTGGGGGAGCCGAGTCGGGGTCCATGTCTTTGGCTACAAGGAGCCTCAGTGCTACTGATCCGAACAGGGGCCCCGGCCACGCAGGGAGACCTCAACATCTTAAAAGCACCTCGGCAGCCAAAACACCTTGCCTCGCCAGCACTCTCGGCACAGGGTCACACTCTGGCATCCATGCCTTCTTGAAGACACTTCCAAAAATGAAGAGAAAAGGAGCATGGGAAAAGTCAAATGCTGTAAATCCATCGAAAAAGAAGAGGGAAAATTCATGGGCTAAAGCTGGTATGAAACTCTTACATAATCACGTTGAGCCAACTCATCTCATGTGTCAGTGTATATATTTGAAATTGTTCTCAAGGAGATGCTATTTAAAATGCCTGTCTATACAGGGAAAAGACTTTTTCTTTCTTCCATTTGTCCTGTACACTCTTTTTTACATGTAAAACACAGTGGCATAATGGCAGGCTAACATACAAAAGTGAAAACAGGAAAAGGGTTCACGATAACCTTTTTGAAATAGAAAAAGAAAACTCCCAGCAGTGGCTCGATTCTCAAAATGATCGTGTTCTATTTTATTGGTAGCGGGCCAAGATTTGCCTTCTAAAAATAGTCCATTAGTGAGGGCTACTGTTTAAAAGACAGAAAGGACAGCTCCTGTTTAAAAAAGAGATTATTCCTCTGTCAAGTGTGGTGTAACCTCCTCTGAGAAAAAAAAAAGACTCTCAGTAGAAACTCACATCAAAATAAACTCTGCTTCTCATCCATTTTCTTCGCAGTTGATGACCTAATCATGTTGTCCTTCATTTCTTGTCCATGACAGGGAGAAATGTAAAAGTGGGTCTTTTCACACAGTGTCAAATTCTCCCCCAAAATGCACGGCTCATTCCAGGTGGCGTGGGATCAAAATGAAGTGATTTCTAAGCCAGTGCAGTGTGACTTGCGATGCGAATTTGTGGAGGCATAACAAAAAACTCATTGTGCCAATGAGACACAGTAACAAGCTGACTTGAAGGCAAATGAGCACCTTCCTCTGGAATTTCGGTGATAGCTTGTCTTATGTAAAAATGTTTTTGAAGTCCTTTCTCAAAAGACTGACCCACAGCAGTCCACAGGGGTGTGCCCAAAAACCAAAGGAGCAGAAAGAGAAAAGGATTCTCTCGTCTCCTTCAGTTGTTGCTAAGGGAACCCGGTCTGCCTGCTTGTGCTGTGATTGGATAATTATTTTACTTCTTATCCGTGTAATGTATGTTTTCTCTGTGGACTCTTTTCAGAGAGGCAGAGAGCTCCGTGCCATCCAGCAGGACAAGATAAATCCCATGAAAGCTTCCCAAAGGAGCCCCAGAGAACAAGCAGGGGGGAGAGCTTCTCGCCAAATCCAGGGCGATGCCACTGCCACAGGGTATGCTGGCCAATCACACATGGCACCTGGTCATACAGGAAGGAAAGCAATCACTTATTCGTTCATGTCTCGTTTTCCTTTCTTTTTTAAAGCTTGCTCTAAATCATAGCAGCATGAAAAGCAGCATCAGTCGGGTGAATAAGACTCAGATATGGTCAGGGATTAACTGCGCTGATTATTTCTTGCTTCTGTTAAAATGCATCTCGTACTTCAGCAGCACTTGCCTCACCTCCACACGCTCACACACGCTCACACACATCCGCTGGGACGCACACCTACTCACCTTTTCTGTGCATCACTTTGCTGTTGCTATGCCCAGAGCTTACTGTCCAGGCACAGCCGAATCACTGAAGCTACACACAACCTGCTGGTTCTTTAGAAGTCCCTGTGTCGCACACACCAACATCTTCTCTCCTTCTTGCCGTTCTCACTCCCTCTTTTTCCTCTCTGTCTTACACACGCAGACACACTCCCTCTCTCCCTTACACACACACAGAGAGTTCTCCCCCCTCCTCCCGTACTTACTGTCTTGACAGAGGGAGAAGCTTCTATTAGCAGGGTTATTTCACTCTGAGGCTGTGGCTCATCAGAGGAGGAGTAGAAGTGGAGGATGAAGCTGTGGAGGAGGCAGGAGGCATGAGATGGGAACGATGAATGGCCCTGATAGCACTCTGAGAAGGGAGAGCGGACGCCGAAGATGACTAAGAGCCAGAGTGGCAAGAAGAGCCTCTGCTTCGGATTGTGATGCTGCTGCGGCCGCTACCATCACTCAGATAGCTATGCTGCCGTAACACACCACCCGTCATCCCCTTCAGCATTCGCCTGCATCGGGAGGCAGCAGACAGATCAACTGAGCTGCTACTGTGAAAAAGGAGCTGTGTGATTCTTATGACAGCCTCTCCCTCTTTGTCTATCGGCCTGGTTTGTCTCTCTCTGCCTCTCTCTCACACTTCCCTCTCTTTCTGTCACTCTTTCTCCATCCCTGTCCCTCTGCCCCTACGCCCTCACTGTGTCCTCGCTCACTGCCGGATGAAGGGAAGCTGATGCCAGAGTTTATCGTTGGGCTCAGGCTCCTGCCAGCACCACTCGGCTCTTCTGCTCGGCTCTGTGGAGGAGGGGCTTGGTGCTTTAAAGGCACAGTGTATCTGCCTCCCTCCTGTCCTGTCTTCTCCTCTCTACTGGTGTCGACACTCCCTCACTATCTCCTCTCACACTGCCTATCTAGCCTTTGTCACAGTTCTGTCGAGGGTGTTATCTCTCTTAAATCAAGATGAAGTCTTCCTCTGCTGCCAGACAAGCAGTCTCCAGGGACAGGGTGTCCAAAGAACCCTGGCTGTTGCATCATTAATATACAAAGCAGGTTGGTGTTTGATGACCTCATCTCGCTGAGAGACAAAAATAGGAAGGGAGGACCAAGCTGACTTTTTTTCCTCCCTCCCTTGTCCTCTTTATCAAAATTTATATTTCTACACAATGCATAGCCACACATAACACAACCAGAATCAACCTAAAATGAAACTAACATTTTAAAAGCCAATTGAAAATGTCAGCTTCCTGAAAATGCAATTTTTGGCAGATGGCTGTGGCGAACAGACAGAGGCTCTGTGCAGATGCTGATGTATAGCTCTGTGGTCACAGAGGTCTGGTAATTGTTTTTAGAGTTCAGACACAAGGTCTGAACGTAAATACAACCAGAGCAACTATATTTAAAACATAATTAAAATCATCAGCTGTGACTGTGTGACGCTGATTTAAAAAAGTGATAATAGCTGCAGTGTCTACAGAGCATTTTTAAGCCACATTAGATGTATGCAATGATGTTGCCCTCAGTCTTTTTATTTTGTTTTTATAGCTAGCTAATGTAACCTCTAACACAGTGGTTCTTAACCTGGGTTCGATCGAACCCTAGGGGTTCGGTGAGTCGGTCTCAGGGGTTCGGCAGAGCCTCCGCCGTGACATGCACGGCTCATTTTGTGCACCAGTAAAAAACAGATCTATGTCTTGAATTTGAAAAAAATCATATTGTATTTTTCAGTAAAGAGGGGTTCAGTGAATGCGCATATGAAACTGGTGGGGTTCGGTACCCCCAACAAGGTTAAGAACCACTGCTCTAACATATAACATTAGTTATATGCCTTACAGTAAACAAGCAACTCAACCCTATCACTTCCACCTACAGTAGTATGCCCCAAAAGTTGATTCTGTTCATCTGGACGTAGCGTTTTCAGTGGGAGAAACGTTTTGTCGCTCATCCAAGTGACTTCTTCAGTCTATACTGGTATATATATAGGCTGGTATGTTCAGTATACTCGTATGGCTTCACATTCCTTGGTATAACTGTCATGGGAAATGCCGAGTTGATTCAGGGTACTTGGGTCTTTCATGCAGATGAATTTGTTTTGAAGTCCTCTGTGGTTTCTAGTACCAGCATCACAGACATTATGCTGATGCTGTAATCCTAATTACAGTATTAATTATCTTTTGCTATTTTCTTTGATCAATAAGTGATCTAGTTAGGCTTAAAAATAATGTCATAAAGAAATGCTTCAAAGTCTGCATTATACTTTCCACAAGTACACAGTCACGCTGTGTCATCCTAGGACTTCATCAAATTTTTAATATGTCATCACTTTCAAAAGTACATTGTGGTTCCATGTGGCGATAAGGGAGTGGATCCTGTTCCTTTTTTTTTTCATTCACACATGACTGGTGCAGTGTTGCACAGACAAGATGCTTCTCACAAACTGCTCCCTGCAACGAACAGGTGTCCTTGAGCATGTTTCCTTTGTAGCTTCACTGCTTCGTTTCTCTGCACATATGGGAGGCTTCCTTCTTAGAACACAGCAACAGTTTGCAGCACTTTTCCCCCCCAGTCATTTTCTTTCTTCGTGACATTGCAAAAATCCTTTTTTGCTTGGGTATGCATGGTGTATTTAATAGAGCTGTGCCTAAAAGAGAGAATGTAAACTAATGACCTCTCAGTAGAAAGGCACAGGTGCACAACGCAGATAGCTCCATGACAATGATGCCTTGGCTGGAATGGAGTTGGATTATTCCCCCCTGTAAAATATATATTTTTAATGCTAAGATCATCACAAGTTGTGAGTTTTACTAGAAATCTGGAGTGAGTCCAGCAAAATATTGGTTCCACTTAATATTTCTGCCTTGGATTTATTGTGCCATGCTGTTTATAGAGACGTTTTATGGAACGTATTTTTTTTTCTAGTTGGGCACAGGCTGACAAACACAAAGATGCATATACACAGAGATGCACACGAATACGTGCAGGCGAAGACCCACAAACGTACACACCAAATACATATATAAACAGCAGAGTGGGTGTTATCTGTGAGAAACTATAGTAATAGTTTCCAACCATAAGAATGAAGCCAGGAGAAATTTTATTTGCATTGCATTGTGTATTTCCAAACAAGTTTATCTCCCAGTAAAGTCAAAAAAATTCTCATTTAAAAGACTCAAGATGCTTTTTTGAGGCTGTGGAGGGGATTTGATATCTTCATTACAGTTGGATGTCTAGGTAGGAGGAATACTATAGTATCTTGGAGTAAAATATATAACCGGAGGAAACAGAGAGATTGGCTATATTCTAAAATAATTAATTCAACCTGCCAGTGCCACCGAAATTATATGTTGTCTTTCCTTTCTTTGATTTCCACAAAAAACAAATGCATTGTTTCTTTTTGTTGGCCAGGTTCAGTCTTGGCAGTCTTGTCATCACCTTGAGGTTGCCAGGAAATTGGCAGAGACTTCAAGAACTTACTGTCATTTGGATAGAGGTAGGCAAGCTGTTTCCTCTGTTTTCCATATTTGTTTGAAACTTTGTCCTGGCTTGTAATTGGTCTCATATTTACAGTTTTACACAATAATACTGCACCTAACTCCAAAACATTAAAGTACATATAGGCTACCCCATCTTGGATAAAACACTAGCACTCTCTGGAAAAAAAAATACTTTACTAAAAAACAAAAAAAGATTTGCATTGCATAATGAAAAACATCTGCAGAGAAAACTGCCCCAAAAGGTAACAGATGTGCAAACAGTTGTGGCCAAAAAAACTATCAAGCCATCAAAAACTTGGATGGCAAAGTGTTTTGACTAGAAAATATATTTACATATTATTAAGTTTAATAAAGATACATATACTGAAAAAATCTTAAAAGTAACTTTGTGTATCACCTTGTTGATCTGTATGGTATTGTTCTCCCTCTATGCTTCTGATTGCACACCCTCCATTCCCCAGCAATAATTTTCTTTTCCTTAATTATCATCTATTTACTGCTGATACGGAGCCATGCCTTCTGCAAAGACATAAGTCTTATGTGCGTAAACAAAACTTGCTTTTTAGTGGACCACGACTCTTAATGCTTTCGGGGCTTTTTTACCGTGGCAGTGGCCGACATTGTCCCTCTCCCATTCCATCGAATTTCAGAATACAGTATGTAATGATGCAGCTGCCCAGTCATAATAAAGTGGTCATTCTGGTTTGATGCTTAAACTAGCAGAATTCTATTCTCTTTTTAGCAACTATGTTTGTTACTTTGTGTGTTGGACCTCAGCAGTAACAATCAATTTCTTTTGGTAGAGATCCCCCATTCTGATCATTCATCAAATGAATGCCGAGCTGGTGTTTTACTCTACTCTGATAGATTTGTTGTAATATTTTTGAGATTTTTAATCACTTGGAGACATATGAGAAAACACTGTCTCCTCCCTCACCTGCCAAGTGATAAGCTACAATCTAAGGTATTGTTCTTTTAATGAATCCTTATCCATTATGCTTTTCCCTCTCCTGACCATTGTGTGGCGCTGTTGTGCAGTTGTGACATGTTGCATTTTATTTGCCTTGATTAAAGACTAAAATGGTCGACAGACATTAAAAAAAGTTGAACGTTTCTTGTTTTTTGACTGATGACCTGAAGTAATTATTGTTACAGGGTACATCCACTGTGTTAATAAATCAGATGAAACCATGATGCACGAACTCTGGGGATTAATGGAACTTTCAGTGAACATTCACCATATACTCATGGATTAAGCGCCACCTGGCACTTAGTTTGTGTCTAGCATAATTTCGTTAAATGTATGTATAGTTATAGCATTTCAACTGATAATTTGCACACTCTCTAAGAGGTTTAAGTATTTTTCTATGTAATCTCTGCAAATCATAGTTCTGTATTTGGATTTTTAGCTTCATGGTGACTGAGACGGATTTGAAAATCTAAGGAATTGGAAGGCGCATCTGGCATCTAAAATATGCATGGATAAACATAGACATTAAGGCGTGTTTACAATTTCCAGTGTTGTCCTTGATTTCAAACAGACAAACACTCGGGGACAGAGTGCTAGGACCCAGCCTGTCTTACAGTGGCACCACCATATCCTCTTGCCTGTCTACTGACCTTTTGATATTTCATCTGGCATCTTGTGTGTGTTCTATCTCTGGGTGTATGTGTTGTGTGTGTGTGTCTTTTTTTTTTTTTTTTTTCTTTTTTTTTTTTTTTTCTTCCCCCATCTACAGAACTGTGCATGTAGACAATAGAACCCTGTGATGGAGCAATGCTCTCATACAGTGAAATGAAGCTTAAGTGTTTGATTGATTTTTCTTATTTAAAGTGTGGATATTGCATGCAGCTACACTAGGGGCCCTGGCAAGAGAAAACCTGTTGTCTCATTATAAACCATAGCCCTGTTTCATATTCAAGCCACGTTTTTTAGTTGAAATTTTCAATTGTGCTATGTCTGTTAATTGTATTTAATTATAGCCATGCACTATTTACAGTGTGGCTTGGCTGGGGTGGGGTGGGGCCATTAACAGCAATGATAAATTTCATGCTAAAAGCAAATTAATTCTTTTTGTGCATGCTATGGTTGTGTTGTGTTGGAAATAAAAACAGAATACAATGGCTTGCAACTTACAGAGCCATATTTTATTCACAATAAAACAGAAAACACATCAAAAGTTTTAAATGAAACATTTTACTATTTAGTGAAAAGTATTAGGTCATTTTGATTTTGATGGCAACAACATGTCTCAAATTGGGATTGGAGCTACAAAAAAATTAAAATGTAAGTGCTAAAAACAAACACC